CCCAGCCGCCCGCACGTCCCCTCGTCCCTCTGCTGCGGGGCCGGGGACTGCGAAGGGGCCAAAAGCCTCAGTGGGGTTCGGGGCAGCCAGGGGCAGCGGAGCAGGAGCTGCTGCGGTGCAGGACCCTGCCCAGGGACAGACAAACCAACTACTCTGGACTCGCTATTTTTTTCCAGACTCACTATTTTTTCCCAGATTCACTCTATTTTCTGCTCTCCCTGTTTTCCCTGCTGGCAAGGAACCTCATCCCGGAGCTGCACCGGCGCTGGGACAGCCCCAATAACCTCTCTTCGCAGCATCACTGCTTTGACCTTTACTGGTGACAGGCTCCAGTCTAATTACACCCCAGAGGGTGGGGATGTTTTGCCCGAACTCGGGGCTTTTGAGGTTGTGCGGGCGATGAGCTCACCTCGCTGCCCCGTCCCCGTCCCGCCGCAGCCGCCTGGGATTCGTGTTTCTTTGCACGATGCCGCTGTGACGGGCCGCCGAGGAGGGCTTTGAGCAAGAGGGGGAGAGAAAACCGGCCGGCGGCGGCCGTCCCGCAGCGCGGGGAAAAGGAAGTGCCGCCACGGGCCACTCCTCCTCGCCATTTCCTCTCCGCGGTCGGGTTTTTATACAGATGAGAGAGAGGGGGACAGAGGAGCAGCCAGCCCATCCAAGGCCAGAGGCTGGGCTCGGTGGCCGAAGGGGAGCGCCGGCGGCCGGCTCTGAGGGAGACGCTGTGGGTAACTGCGCTTGGTTCGGCTCCCCTGTCCCACTCCCCACCCCACGGGGGGTCACTGGGGCACCCCTCAGCCGCTCCATCCCCACCACTGCCTCCTGCTCATCCCCAATGGCCCCTTTCCACCAAAAACTGCCCTGGTTTTGCAGGGACCCTCCTATCCCTGCCGGTTTTGGGTGCTCCAGGCTCTTCCCCTCCGCTTGCTGCCCTTTCCATAGGTCTTGGTCTTTGGAGTTCAGAAGAAAATTTGGGCTGGGAGCGGGGCCAGCGGGTTTTGGTGGCAAGCAGGCTTTTGGGACGGCGCAGGTGGGTTTTGCATCACCCTGGCTGTCACCACTGCACTGTGTTTTCGGGGAGGGCGAATGCCCGCACGCCCCAAGCTCAAGCTGCGAAGCAAACCGTGTTTCTCAGCTTGTTTCCAAGTGGTGCCCCCGGGGAGCTGCAACTCGGGGTGCCGGGGCCATGCCCTGCGCCAGGGCCATGCTGGCCTCTGCTGCGATCCAGGATTTCTGCTCTGGGCCGCTGATGCCCTTCGATCCACGGTCCCCACTGCAAGGGGCCATTTTGCTCTGCTTTTCCCTCTGGAAACGCTCAGTTTTGGACGGAGGGGTTGGCTTTTAGCCAGGGGGGATCAGCCTTTGGGATTTTCCAGCTGTTCCCTTTTCCCAGCAGCTTTGCTAACCCAAAGATTCCAAGCTTGGGGTAGAGCTCCCTCCTCTCCGATGCTGTCCTCGAGTTTCAGCGGTCGGCACTTTAACTGGGGGCACATTTCTTCAGCTGGCGTCGGGCTGACGTCTCCTGCAAACCGGGCAATTTCTACCCACGAACGCCATCTGCCCGGAGGCTGCCCCCGTCCCGCTCCCCTCCGGGCCCGGCTGCCTCCAGCTGCCCACGCAGGCTCCTTTGTTGTAGAAATCTTGTTTTGGCAGGAGCAGGGTGACACACGAATGCAAATGTTAGAGGGGAAGAGCTAAAGGAGGAAAGCTGGAGGTTTCTCAGGAGCATTTCCAAGAGCTAAGTGCAAGTCTTCCCGCGGTGCAGCCGGACTCGGCGCAGAACAGTGACTAACGGTGTTTACACGAGCACTTGTGATGCTGCGGACCTAATTGCCAGGTTCTTTTTCCTATTGTTTTCACCAAACATCTAATTAAATTGCTGAAAGCGCATCTCTGCAGGCTGGCAGCACCGCCAGGCTGGCACAGCCGCCTGCCCCGGCCCCGATCTGATGTTGAGCAAGCAGGGGCTGCTATTATAAAATTCAAGTCCTATGTAAATACCAGCAGGTATTAGGAACTGAGTCATAGTATTAATAGGATTATTATATGCGTGACTGGACAGATTTCTTGCTGAGGATGGGATTTGGTCCCTCCACCCTGCCTCACTCAGCTCATCCAGAGGGTTGGGCATCCCGTGCCAGTGGGATGGATGTGCTGTTTGGGCTCTCAGCTTTTGGGAAAGAGGGTCTGGAGCATCTCCTGGCTAACGAGCGCTCGGTCCTTGCCTGTTTCCATCGACCTCGCAGGGGCCTGAGGCTCCCCATGTGGACATGGCGCTGGTAGGAGACTCAACTCTGGGCTGTGAGGAGCCGAACCGCTTCATGCTTCAGCCGAGGCTACGGGCAGGGGCAGGGCGGGGTGGCACCCTGTTGCATGTCGGCAGCATCCGCGGGGAAGTGTTTGGGATGTCTCATGTTTCCCTGCCAGCACCCTTCTGCTCCCTAAACTTTTTCCCGTAAACTCCCACAGCTGCCCCCGGCATTTAATCAATCCCCTCTACACCTGCATGGGTTTGGGGCTGAGAAAGCTTCACTGCATGTTTGTGTTGATGTGTGTTACGGCCCGGAGGGTGGTCCTGGCCCCAGGCCGAGCTCTGCAGTGTCCCCTCTCCATGGGGACCATGGCCCATGCTGGTCTGTGCCACGAGGGCTGCTCCTCAACGGCTTTGGGGACCTCCAGGCACTGTGTGAGCAAGGCAAAGCGTGCAAGATGGAGAGAAGCAAGGGTGTGACCCCCAGGGTGGCGTGGGGACAGCCCGGGGTTCCCAGTGGCATCCCTGGCAGTGGCATCCCAGGTGGCGGTGGCCCCCAGCCCTCCTGCCCGCTGCTGCTTCTGCGCCTGCTTGCAGGAATCTTGTCTGGCTGGTTTTGCTCTGGGCACGGCCAAATCCTGCACGCTGTCAGCAATTAGCACTTGGAGCTAATTTCTGCATGGCAATAGCTCATCCAGTGATTAGTGCTGGGGGAGCTGCTTGCCCCGACTTGGTTCCCATGACCAGCCGGCTGCCGGCATGTGGTCCAGAAATTAACTTGTCCCTGGTGCGGGGGCGAAGGCTTCACTCGGCATGCCCCGGCATTTCAGAGGAGCCGGGAAGGGCGCAGGGCAAAGTGAGGATGCGGCCAGGAGCATTTCCCAGTGCCTGTGACTCCCCGCGCAACTTCCCCGGCCACCCTTTTGCTCGCTGCGTGCCAGTGGATGGCTGCCTGCATCAGGTCCGTGGTGGGGGAAGTAAAACCTTCACCAGCGCGTGACATTTTGCAGGTTGGTAACTTCCTGCTGAGCCGAAGCGAGTTAATAACAAACCCTTCGGGGACCTCCTCCTCCTCCCTGGAGACGCAATGCTTTTGGCAAAACCTAGGGTTGATTTTTCCGGGCGGCCAATGAAAGCGGCTTTCCTCGCCCTGCCCGTGCTGGCTTCCTGCTCTCGGGACTGGCAATGTCACCGCGGCAAACTGTCCCCTTGCGTCAGTGCTGCTGCGGTCTGGAGGTGGTGGGGAAATGCCCTCCCACCGTGACACAGCTTCTGCCACCACCAGCTTCATGCCGGGCAGGGACGGAACTGTCCCCGGCGCTGCAGCACATGGAGGTGGTCATGCGTGGGGTCCTGCTGCGTGGCCTTATCCAGGTCTGGAGAGCCGTTTTCTCTTGGGGGTTTCCCCGCCAGGTCTGTGCCTCTTGTCATTGCGTCCTGCTGCCGGAGCACGGCCTCTCCTCTTCCTCCTTGTTTGCCGACTAAGGTTTGCCCACGCGTTCTCCACGCGGACGGTTCTTCTCAGGGATGCTCATGTCCCCGCGCTCTCCTGCATGGCTCCGGGGTCTCATGTGGGAAAGACACAGTGGCCGACGTGTGTCCAGGGGTGCGAGGTGTGGGCACACGGGGCAGGGAAGGACCGTGGGGGTAGGAGTGTTGGGGTGCTGTGGGGCAGCCCCGCTCCTTTCCCAACAGCCATGTGCTGCTGGCAGGCTTACTCACAACCACGTCAGTTCTCTGCAACCTGTCTGAGCCCTCCCCGTCCGGGGGCAGCCTGGGGAGCTGCGGGCCGAGGGCTGAGCGCTGGCCGGACGCTGTCCTCACCTTCTCTCCCTGCCAGCAGTGACTGGCACTGCCTGGCATACCCGTTGGCACAGCCGGCAAAAATCCCCCCCCAGGGAGATGCCGTGCCACCACAACCTGCATGGCACGAGCGTTTCCACAGCAAGTTACTCCGTGCACACTTCCACACCCTGAAAGGCCTCTGCGGGTGTACGAGTGACTGTTTCCTACGGGGTGTGTACGTGTGCGGGTGCATATGCTGGTGCGGAGGTGTGGCTTTGTGTCTTGCTTACATTTAACAGATGTAAGGAAATAGGACTGGGCAGCTCTGGTTCAGAGCATGGGTCTGTCTGCCCAGCGTCCTGCCTCTTGCTCATGGCAGCACATACCGGAGCTCCTGGCTTTGGCTCCAGCCAGCTCCAAGCTTTCCTTCCGCATGTGAAGGTAGGGTTGGTTTTGTGATATGCATTCATTTGCATTTATTTACACTGAATTTCATCTGTAGTTTTGTGTGTCCAGAGTGTCTTCCAGAAAGTTAGCTTAGGTCTGAAAGTCTCTCTCTGCCACCTTGCCATTGCTGATTACTACAGGTAACCGTTCTGCCTGTTAGAAAGTGGGATATCTGTCTAATTTGGCTGTTATCGGTCACTTCCTCATCTTGCAAAGATTAATTTTACATTGTCCTTTTTTTTGTAAGAAAGAAGATGATGTGAATGGGCTGTAAGAACCAGACGAGATGGATGGAGAGCTGCCCTGTGCTGAGGTGGATGGAGAAGTGTCCTCTGCCACGGAGGATCTGGGAGGAGAGATGCCCTGTGCGGAGAGTGATACTGAAGGAGACATGTCCTGTGCTGAGAATGATGCAGAAGGAGAGATGCCCCGTGCTGAGACCAACACAAAAGAAGAGGCACCTTGTGCTGAGAGCACTGTGGAAGGAGAGATGCCTGGCACTGACAGCGATGGGGAAGGGGAAATGCCCTGTGCCGAGAGTGATGAAAAAGGAGAGGCATCTTGTTATGAGAGTGATGGGGAAGAAGTACCGGGTACTGAAATCCCTGCTGCTTCAAAGAAAATGTCTTCTGTTTATTCTCCCTTGCGGGCAATCATCCGCCTGCGACGACGATACTTGGTGCAAAAGAAAAGCCATCTGCATTTAGAGCTCCCTCGAGAAAAGTCTTCACAGCTTGTCCATACAAGGCTGCTTCAAAGGCAGCTTTCCCTGAACCGAACTAACCTGTATGGCTCTTCCATGTCCTTCTTTAATCAGACCAGCTTCAAAACTTCCCAGTACTTCACCTTTGACACATCTGTGGAGCAGTATGCTATGAAAAAATGCAGGCGGAAAAAGAATCAAAGGAAATCTAGGATAGTCCTGTATCCAGATAAAACAAAAAGATACCTTCCAACAGAGGAGAAGAGCAAGGCAAAACGCTGCCTCCTCTTGCTCATTGTCATTATTTTCTTCCAGATTCTCAATGCAATAGAGAACCTGGATGACAACCTCCAAAAATATGACCTAGATGGTTTGGAGAAAACAATGCACCGGGAAGTATTTGGGCAGAAGGTAGCTGTGGAAAGTATTATGGAATTACTGAAAGACTATCTGGCTACCCACATACACAACAAGCCTCTAGTAATCTCTTTAAATGGCCCGACAGGAGTTGGGAAGAGTCATGTTGGCTGGCTGCTGGCCAAACATTTTCGTTCCGTCATGGACAATGACTTTGTGCTTCAGTACTTTGTTATGCATCACTGCCCCAACGGGGTGGCCCCTCTTACTTGCGAAATAGATTTGTCTAAGAAGATTTCTGACATGGTTACAAGAGCCGAAATAGAAGAGAAGATACCATTGTTTATTCTGGATGAGGTTGAACTCATGTCTCCAGTCCTGCTGGATACTCTCAGCCGATTCTTTGAACCCAATCAAACCAACGAGTTCCTCAACGCCATCTACATTTTAATAAGCAACATAGGAGGTGGTGAAATAACAAAGTTTGTTATCCAGAATGCATCCGCTGAGCTTCTGCATCAGCAAAGGGGAGTTGAAGAACTACTGAGCGTCGTCCGGCCTGTACTGATTGATGCCCACCCTCTCTGGAAATCTGTGGACATTATCCCATTTGTTCTTCTGGAGAAGACTCACGTCATAAACTGCTTCATAGAGGAGATGAGGAGGGAAGGGCTGTATCCCGACCAGAAGCGTATTGAAAATTTAGCGAGTCAGCTCAGTTACTACACTACAGGAGACAAGCAGTACTCCAGGATGGGCTGCAAGCAGGTTGTGGCCCAAGTCAACCTGCTGTAGTGATTTACTGCACAGACCAAGTCCTGCTCTCAGGATTTGGAAAATTCTGGGCTTATGGAGGAGTATGTTACAGCAGGCTGTGGTCAAGGTGTCCTTTCTCAGGCCTGCACTGACTCTGTCCTGGTCGAAGCAGAGGGACGGCAGCCCGGGATCCTCTGCAACATGGTCTCAGTTCTCCTCCAGATGCTTCACTTGTTCCTAATGTTCTGTGAATAAGGCACAGGCAATGAAGCCCGAGCAACCTCCCATTAATTGCGTGGTGCTTTGTTCCTCACATACTCACTTGGGATACTTTGTCATTAAGGAGTTGTGAGATGAGAACAGACACTGTGGGATATAAACAGGAGGAGGAAATAATAACTGGGTTACCATCTCTGCAGTACACGTAGCCGTGTCTCACTCCTTCTCCAGGCTCACAGTCTTCAGCTCTTTGCTTTTCTTGGTCCTGGCTGGTGTTGTGCAGAGCAGAACAGAGCTGTGCTGGACGCCTGGGAGAATTGAGAGAATTTGTGGCTCCTCGTTCCCCAAAAAGCGTGGGCAGTCAGAGCTCTGCTTTCTCCAGCTCCTTTGTGACTGCGTGCTCCAGAGACTGCTTTTTGGACCCGTTCCTGAGTTCTTGCTCTTCTGAGCTCATACCTGAGCTCACCTTTGGCACCTCCAGCGAGATTTCTGCCCTGCAAGGCTGTTTGGGCTCGCCTTGAAGACTGCTCAGCTGTGCCAGCCAGTGCAGAAATAACCGCCGGATTGTTTCAGATCTGGTGGTGGCAACTCATCCTGAAAGCTCTTCTTCTTTTTGCTTCTGGGTACACTTCACCATGCTCATTATCTAGAAAGCCCGAAATAGCAACTGACGTATATTAAGCAACACACACTGGAAAAGACAGTTTTGGGCTGCCTGGGCCGAGTGCAGTGGGAATCCTGGGCTTGTTCCCAGTCCTGCAAGGCCAAGAAGAGGTTCCTTGCCATTGAGACCCAGGGGAGAACATGCTGCCTGGAAGCACCTCAGGAAAAGCACTTGTCCTCGTTTTGAGCAGGCAAACCGAGAAGATATTTATGACATTGCTTTTTCAGGTTTTGGTTTTGTGCCTAAATCCCCTTCTACAATTTGCTGTGAATTATCATATACATAATCCTGTGGATGTTTGCACTGGTTGTTTGATTCACCTCTTTCTAATAGTTGGTCTCCAAAGACTTCCATCACAAACTCCTGCTTCCAGAGCTATTGTCAGGAATAAATCCAAACTATCCTGAATAAAATCATTCCAAGTACATTTCCTTTATTTAACTGAAATGTGGTTTTCCTCCCAAGTTTCTCTTCTGGACCGATGCAGCTGCACTGCCATGTCTGTGCTTCCCAGTGACTCGGACTGGTAGCAAGGGCTACAGCTTTGCTGTGTGCTTTTTGCAGACCACCTTGATGCAGTGTGTGTGTGTGTGTGCAGCTCCTCAGGGTACGCTCATGGTAAGCCAGATCCAAAAACCACACAGTGCAGCAGTGTCAAAAGCTGTGTGCTGCACAGCTCCTCCACCCCCCAGAGCCGCACAGCGGGGACTACACTGGAGAATGGGGAAGTGTGTCCTTGGCTGAGATGATGCTGGGCTGGAAAGCCTGTCCATGGTTTCTCCTCTTGGAATTATCTAGTGGAGAAGCCTTTTTCTCCTGCAGAATAACCCATGAGAGCAGCTGGGCAGAGAGCAGGAAGGGCTGCTTGCATGGCTTAGGGGAAGGGCTCTGAATGAAACTAAGACACCTTCTAGATGCAAGTGTCCACAAAAAGCAACGTGTATGAGCTGGTTTCCATAGCTTAGTGAGACTTTACTACCAGGACAGTTAATATGTTTTTATTGTGGATAAGAAACAGAAACAACTCTGGGACCAGGATTCCCCTCCTCTTCCAGCTGGGAGAGGGACAGGGGTTATTTCTGTTTTCCTCTACCAAGGTCTCTCATTTCTGGGAGAGGAGCTCAAAGCCCAAGAGTATGTCAGGAGAGGTAGGCGTCACCCACACTGCTGAAGCAGGCACCCATGGGCATTGGATTGCAGATGGCTTTTGTCATGGCGTCAGGACAGGCAGCAGCGCTGATAGCAGTGCTGCTTTCAGGCTTCCAAGGGCTGTGCAGGGGGCTGTAGGTACTGAGGGGATGCCTGAGTTGTTTTGCAGGGGATTTAGACTTGTTTTTGGATGTCTGCACTTGCAGTCCACCCACAGGGTGTTCAGTTGTGCCAGAGATCCCTGGGTGCCTCTGCACCAACCATCACCCTGTGCGAGAGGGGAGGGTGACTTCGAGTGGAGCTGAGCATCTACAGAGCTTGTTTTCATCCCTCTAAGATTCAACTGCCCTAAACCAGGGGTCCCAACCCTGCACCAAGCGAGCTGCCTGAGTTTTGCTGAGGCACCAGCCCATGCCTGCGTATCCCCCATGAGCTGCATGCTGGATGGCTCTGGGCTCACCCTGAGCAGCTCAGCACCTTAGGTCCAGTGTAGGGCCCCTCATGCCTCTGCTCAGGGAGATCGGGGACATCTTGCACTCTCTTGCGTCCCCCTCCATCTCACCCCACTTCTGCACATCAGCTCCATCCCAAAGCAAAGCTGTCCCAACTATTTTGCAAAAGGCATGGGGTGCACAGGCGCCCTGTGCACCTTGAAGACCTGCCAAGGTCTTTGGCTCCCACAAAGATCCCCTCAGTGCTAAAAAGCGGGGCTCAGCTTTCTGCTGCGTGAAGACCATCTCATCCCTCGGCCAGTGCTGGAGAGGACAATCTGGCCAGTGCTGCACATGTGCCAGCCCTCCCCGCTCTCCCAGCCCACATGGCAGCTTGTACCTCTGGAGGCCTTCATCAGAAAGCACAGGAACCTCCAGGCCATGGAGAAGACTCTCCCTGCCAGAAGATAAGGATGTCTGGCCAGGTTGTCCCCAGTCCCAACTTGCCCCAGGACTTGGATACCAGCTCAAATGGCTCTTCAGGTTGTCCCCAACCCCAGTCTCCCCCAGGATCCCAGCTTAGACATCTGTCCATACTGTCCCCGGTCCCCAAGCTGCCCTGAGACCCTCTGTAAAGACACCAGCCCTGCCAGGCACTTTCAGGGCAGTGGAGCTGGCACATGGGCGATCCCCAGTGCTGAGCAGCAGGAGCCCGATGGCTCATTTCTCAATGCTGTGTGCAAAGGAAGCTGGTCTAAGGGAAAGGAACAGCTAAGGAGACTTAAACCTCATAGTCTCCCATAATGGCTGTGCCAGGACCACTGAGGTTCTCCACCTCTGCTCAGCACAGGAGCACTCTCATGCTGCCTCAGAGCCAGGAGAACCTCTCTGAGGCGTTGCTCATCACCGTAGCTGCTCCTACACATACCTGGCCAAGTCCACACTGCGGCACACCCACTGAAGGGCCAGGGTGATGAGCCCAGCTTGAGAAGTAAACAGCTCCTCCTGCAGCACATCTGAGGCTGGAATTTGGGGAGCAAAGCACAAAGAGCACGGTGTCTTGTCCTTGGTCCCACTCTGTCTCTTGGAGGCTCAGACGATCCTGGCATGGGACCCAAGGCTATCCTGGAGAGCTTTTGCTCGATGGGTATGGCTGACATGCCAGGTGTGTGGTAACGTGCTTTCACCACAGACTTTGTCCTCCTTAGCCAGACGTGGATTTCTTTATCCAATTGCCTTTCCAGGGGAAAATGCTGGTTGAGCTGGAAGGATGGGTTTGAAGCTGAAGGATGGAGAGATCCCTCTGGGCTGGGGCACTCGGACTGCTGGTCCTGCTCTTCCCCTGCACAGCTGAGCTGTGAATTGAAGGGCAGGTAGACAGCCTGGACTCCCTCACTCTGAACGCATCCCGCACGTCTCCCCCGCACTGTCGGCTCCCTTCGCCAGGTGAAGGGCTCGTTTTCTTCCAGTAGCGCTGGGCCATGGGTGTTACAGGACGCCAGGATGGCTGGTCCCACGGGTCCAAGCCGCTGGGACGGGTCACCCTCCTGTTGCCAGCTCTTGCTTTTTAATGCACCGTGCACTCAGGAGTGGGTATAACACCCGATGGAGTAGGGAGACTGCAGAGGGTACTGTGCTGTGTTGTCCATAGCCTCATCCATCTATAAGGGATCTCTTCAGCCCTTCTTTACTCTTAATAGCTTTTTTGTAATCAAAAGATCTAGAAATATGACTTTGTAGGAGATATTGCTAGGGACAAAAAGAATTGCTGTGGCTGCATGTCTGTCCTGTGCCTTCATCCAGCTCCTCTGGATCCCCCAGGTGAATGGGGGCTGCCTCAAGTGTGGGAGCTGCCACATATATCTGCTATCAAGGTGGCTGTAGGTGGCACAGGGAAGGCTTCCTTTGTTGGCAAGAGCTCTTCCTAAGTCAGGCACACCTTCCTGTTGTGCTTGGAGCCGTGATTTATGGAAAGCAGCTCCCACCCTGCTGCGGGAATGGCACTGCATTTGGCCTCGAGCAAAGCATGGCTGGTTCAGTAATTAAAGCAGCATTGGGTTAACCGTTCCCCGTCATGAGCTGGCAGGGCCTCATGGGGAGACCAGCAGGTACTCTGCACCCCGCAACTGCATCTCAAAGCCAGAGTGGTGTTTGGGCCAAATTCTCTTTTTGCGTTTACCCTGGGGAAAGTGCAGAGTGATTTCAAATAGGTGTATAGTGAGGATGTGGGAACAACTGCTGTTACTGCCCGTGAGAGCATGGCAGTGATAAAGGAGGGTAAAAATAAATATGAAATAGTGTGTGTCTTGCACAGGATGGAAATTGTGACCACATTGGCCCGGTCTGTACTGAAGGCTTTCCCGGGGCCGGGCTCAGGTTAGAGGGCCTGTGGGCATGAGCTGCGTTCCCATCACATGCGGTGCTGTCAGACCTCGACAGAGCAGCTGTGCCACCTCCAGGAGCACCTCCCAATACAGAAGATGCCAGCGCCAGCTCTGAAAGCACTAATTAGTCTTCTCCATATCAGCCTCACCTGACAGCTCCCCACACCCAGGAGCCTTCCCTGCATGGGAAGA